TTTTGAAGCAAGAGTGGGCGAAAATCCCACAATTTAAAATTGACGAGATGATTCTCACGATGCCCCAAAGGATCAACGAACTCCACGGAGCGAAAGGAAGATCTACTAGTTATTAATTAAATTATAAATATATCAATTCATGTGAATATGACTGAAAATTTTTATCTTTTCTGAAAAGGTGGTGTCTATTTACTTGTGACCACGCTGTGTACATTTACACTATGTATATTAGGTTAATTGTTCTCCATTTTCATTATTTACAATTTTAAGATAATTTCATTACAACCTGTTGTAATTTTACTTCTTTTAATATCGTATACATCACAAATATGGGTGTTTTTAACTTTCAAGAACACAAATGAGGTCTAACGAATTTTAATGATGTAAAATCGTTTGCTACTACTAACTGTATATATATATTTAGGCATTTTTCAGTTGTTGTCACATAACCTTTTTCATCTCAGATTTATCTGTATAAGACATTGGGATCAGAAGAAATCTCGGATGTGCTGTTGAAGATTACTACTCGCTGTTTCATTGTTTACTTTAATATTGCACATTTTGCTAACTCAAGTACGCTCCCTTTAAAGTGCAAAAAGAAACACTATTTCAGGATTATCCTAATTTCTTAATGCATACTCATTATACTGAGGTTGAATTTTTTTCGTTTATCAAGAGAGCTGTGCATGACCATTTCGCTTGTTTATTTGTCTTTTATTGTTGTTAAGCACAAAGCTACACAGTATGCTATCTGTGTTGTGCCCACCACGGGTATCGCAACCCGAATTTTAGCGCTCTAAGCTTTCATATTTACGGCTGAGCCAATGAAGCGGCCATTTTGTAGGATTTTTTTCCACTGACTTTAGAAATAAAATTTTAGAAGGTTAACAATTATTTTCTTTAGTTATTCTATTATTTCTAACTAGTTGTTTGTATTATATTTAAGCCAAAGTTGAATATTAAATGTTGATCAATAAACATAGGCTTACCAATTTAGTGTTTCGTTTCAAATTAATTTTTATCTGATACCTTATAAGTAGAAAATCATGTGGAATTGTGGTTGTTGTTATTTTTTAACACAAAGTTACACAAAGGGTTATCTGTGTTCTGTACACCGCGGGGAATCGAAGCCCGGATTTTACCGCTGATCTACAAGGGGACATCACGTAAAAACAGACTAACTGTAATTAATTAATATGTAATGATAAACGTTTATACTGGACTAAGAAGTAACACGAACCCCAGTTAAATAAATCATCAGATTTATTAGCCAGATTGTGTAAACCGTTCCGTAGTTCAAGAGTTAGCAGTGAGTGGTGTTGACTAGGTGTATTTCCTATAGTCTATCACTTCAGAATTAAGAATGGCTAGCGCAGATAGCCCTAGAGTAGCTTTGCGCGAAATCAACAAACAAATAAAATCCATTTAAAACCAAATAGTTATAAACTTCATCAGAGTAACGAAAATAGTGATTAATTTTAAATACTTTAGAGTAATTGCCATGAAATATATATTTACTCTATCAACTTCGATGGCCATGTCTTCAATTTCTCCTTGTAATCGAGATTTGACCTTCTCCAACCCGCTACACTTCACATTCATCTGTTCTACATTCTGTTCAGTCTCTTCCAGTTTGGCTTGGAGTTTCCGTCTAAAAGGAGATATTCACATTTTTTATATAATCAAAAGTGTTTAAATATTATTAAAGGATACAAATTATTATAGCACAAACATTAAAAAAATATATATATATATGACGCATGAACGTATGGTTTGAAATATTTGAACTAAAGATAATTTGGAGGAAATAATGTATGGTGTTAAAATGATCAATATTTTTATTTTATTTCTCGGAATCTAAAACGTGACTGCGTGAATATATATTTCTTCATTTAAACATAGAGTCAACATTATGCTTCGTTCTTCTGTAAACTTTGAATTATGTTGAATATCAAGGATTGTCTTTAGTTAGCTAAGTGGCATATTCCATTATTGATCAATTCTGCTACTCGGAAAGAAACAGAATTTTAACATTGTTGTATACAGGATTATTCTGTTGTATACAGGATTATTCTCTGATTGTTACCAAGTTTTCTAGAATTTCCTTTGTTGTTTAGGGTTTAAAAGAAACTTAGTCTCTCTATCTTAGTGAATCTGTTGATGGTGTGATTTCATTGTAGGTGTTTGACTATACGAAGCTACTCTCCAAAATAATTAATTAATTGGTAACTTTATTTCAGAAGTAACTTTCAAAATAATATTATTTTCCTGTATATTTTAAAACATGTTATCGGGTTGTTGTGGAAGAAAACTACAGTAACTTTTTTGTGGTGTCAGAATAATTTTTTTGTGTGGCCGTCTAGAAAGTGTATATATTGTTTGTTTGTTTACAAAATATTTTCGATAAGATTTGAGACCTTGACAATTGGCCAAAACCTTTAATCTTTTGAACATAAAATGTACAATTTCGAAAATTCATTCATAAATCTTTATTTGTCAATGAGTGTCTATGTTTCTGCTACAAAAGGAATTTCGTTGTGTTTTGTCATTAAAACCGTATAAGTGTCTTAATGTTAGGTGAAAACTCATGACGTAACAGTAAAGTACAATGAAGACAATTGTATCCGTACTTTGCATCTTCCAGTTCCTCAACTCTAGCTAAGCCTTCACTCTCGTACTTGGACCGCCATAGTTGAGCCTCAGCATTGGCTTTGCTGAGCAGTCGCTGGAGGTCAGCCTTCCCTTCTTGTTCCTCTTCTAACTGTTCTCTCAATCCGTCCATGTCATGTTCTAAATTTCTGAATTTTCCAGCTATTGCTGCACGTTCCTGGGTGAAAATTCAGAACGGTTGATACAGATTTAAGGTATGTAATTCGATTAAAAGCCTTAGCTTGTTTGATAATCGTCGACTTGCTTCCTAATAGATTGTACTAGCTATTTTCAAGTCAATTGTAACCGTCAAATAGAAAAATTAATATACTTTTAATTTTAAATCTCTCCCTATCTATATCAATGTATTTGATTTCTGATTGTAACTAAGTGAAAAAAACCCAACTAAAACTGCTATATAATAGTTTAAGTTATCACTCTATAACGATAAATAAGTATGCCAGTTTACATTAACAGCCGAAACTCTTCTTCATTGTAAAATTAATTAACCCTTATTTTTCAAGATATTCTTCTGTCATTTCTCATCAGATGGGTAAATACTGTATCTGGATGATCTGATAGGTTAGCTAAAGAGTCTTTTTTGATGGATTCAGTTTAGTCTGTCACGTGTATTTTTTTTACAGATTCTGCAGAAACTCTTTTTAATCATTGGCTAGCCTACAAAACGTACATAGTTGTGATTGATTTAGAATCAATAATAATAAGCTTTTTGAATACCAGACTAAGTATATTGTAGTTCTAATATGAAATTTCTGACACATGGACATTTTTATTATTACTGACTTACGCCCATACTTGTAAAACGTTATACTAAGTGAAATGCGAGTAGGTCTTCAATATGGTGAGACGAAACTATTTATGTCAATCAGTTTTTCATGTGAAAGGTGTGAGAAATATCACAGCACATTGATAATGCATTTTAAGTAAAGAATCATAAGCCATTCAGGAAGTTTTACACATTAACAACCTTTTAGCTATCTTTACCGTTTGCAGTAAGTACGAAAGTAATAACTCTGTTATTCGTTCAATATCCGAGTTCACTAAAAGAAAGATTTAAAGCTGTTTAAGAAAATAAGACATAATTAATTACCTAATGTTATCTAGACTTAGACTGGCGAAAATTATTTTATTTACTCATATATTTATATAATGTATTTATTATTTGTTTTTTGCACACAAAGTTGTTCTGTTATTCGTTTTGCTGTGAAGTGCAAAGCTACAAAATGGGCAGTCTATGTTCTTAACACCGAAAGAATCAAAACCAAAATTTTTGTGTTATAAGTCCGCAGACTTACTGTAGAGCCGCCAGTAAGGCTGTACCTTAAGAGTTGAACCTCGTTATTACGTATAGAAGATGATTACTTTTAACATTCATTTTCAAATATTTCTCTTCCACAAATGTTAAAAGATAGGAAAAAGAAAAATATAAATATTGACCTTAATGAGCGAGCTCCTATTGTCATAAATTATGTATATTTGAAATTGAATGAAACCGTACTCTGCTTTCTTCGTCAGCTGTTCTCTTGGCTTCGTCTAGATGGGTCAAAAAGGACAGCTTCATTTTACTCAGTTGAGCGACCTGAGATTCAGCATCTTCTAGTTGTCGTTGGAGGTCAGAGTTCTCATTGGACAGCTTCTTCTTATTGGCATCATAATCTCCCAGTGAACGATTGGCCTCGTCCAGCTTATGTTGAAGATCTTGAAGTTGAATCTCCATTTGTTTGGAATTCTTTTCTGAGTTGGCCTAATAGTGATAAAATATAAAATATTCACGAATAAAACGAATTAAGAACATAATTCCGTGTATTTTCATTAACTTATAACGGTTACACAAAGGTAACCGAGGTGACTTGTCATCGTAAGACTGAAGAACTAAAAAAGACGTTGTTTAATATTATTATTGTTTATGTTGATCAAGATCTATTTATTTCTCATATTACTCCATATATGGAATAGAAATGATCGAATACAAATATAATAAAATCAACAGATTCTTAGATTTGACTCTGTTTTTATGAGAATTTTTATGTCATAATACAGATGTTTTAGTGATAAAATGATGTTTCTGGTTTTACAGAAATTAATATGTAATATACCTATATATATGTGTGTGTGTGTGTGTGTGTGTCCAAAATTCGTTTTTTTTCAAAGTGATGAACGTGTAACTTCAGAAAATATTGAGAAAAAGAAACATCTGATTTTATTGTTAAGGATTTACTCTAACCTCAACACATTGGAATACAGAGGAGTAAGATCCGAAAGAAAACTTGGTCCATGTATAACCTCAAGATGTCTAATCTATTCTAACAGAGCTTAGGTTGGATTAACTTTTCATACTTTTTGAGACAGGTGACCTTCTCACACGGTCATCCAATGGTTGTATACAACCATGCAATTGAACTTTACCTTCTCCTTATTAACGTGGTCCAAGCTAGATCGCAAGTCATCGAGTTCACCCTTCATTTGAGCTTTCTCTTTGTCGATTCTATAAAATTAAAAGCCAGGTCAGAAATACCGGAAACAATATAAACGAACATGTTAGAGAAAAAACCATGAAACTAATATTTTGGGCTTTAGTATATAGAAGGTAGTTTTGTGATAGGAGAACAGTTTCTGATCTGAAGAGACCATTGGATAAAAAATCATCTGAATACTATAAATTTTCTGTCACACACACACAGAAATGCTAAAATACCTAAAGCAAATTCCACTATGCAAGATTATATTACTTACATTACTAGTGACTACTAAGTTAATAAATTATAATAAATCTCTTACATTACTACTGACTACTAAGTTAATAAATTATAATAAATATCTTACATTATTACTGACTACTAAGTTAATAAATTATAATAAATCTCTTACATTATTACTGACTACTAAGTTAATAAATTATAATAAATCTCTTACATTACTACTGACTACTAAGTTAATAAATTATAATAAATCTCTTACATTACTAGTGACTACTAAGTTAATAAATTATAATAAATCTCTTACATTACTACTGACTACTAAGTTAATAAATTATAATAAATCTCTTACATTACTACTGACTACTAAGTTAACATGTGAATAATAAATTGCTAGTAATATTAATGAAGTTTGTTAAATGATTGGTTTTTGGATGCACGTAATAGGCTATATTATATTTAGCAGGATGAGCTGTTATGAATTATAGAATCAGTATTATAAAAATGATGATGGTTTGATGACGTCTTACCGAGCTTTATGTTTGTTGAGCTGATCCAACTGTTCACTGAGCTCAGCAACAACATCGTTGTGCTTCTTCCTTAGGTTGGAGAGAACCTGGTCATGTTGTAGGTTGCTTTCTTCCAAGTCTCGTTTGAGTTTAGACAGTTCAGCTTCTCTTCGCTTGTTTAATTCAATCTGTTCAGGATGAAAAAAAATATAAGGTTGTTGAAGAGCAAAAAATGTTCAGTAGTAGCTTCTCGAAACAAGACAAGCCAGTTACATAATAATATATATTTAATGATAAGTTACACGCAATTCTATTTTAGATGAGTAACGAGTGATGTGTTGCACAATACGTTCAAAATTAGTTGTAACATGCCGAAGGACTTATAAAACTGCTTGATTATTTTTACGAAACTCGATTAATGATTAATATAACTTAAGTGTTACAAGACTTTATGAACAATGAGAATAGAAGTAATTCTTGAAGAAAGATCAAATGATTTATTTATCGATCTTAATAATTTACAAAACATAAACATTCATAATTATGTTTCTTTACTTCACTTTTCAGAGAAATGCAACCTATGAAATTAACCTGTGCCGAAGTGGCTCCACCTGCTTCGTCTAGTCTCTCACTAAGTTCTTCAAGCTCTCGCGCAAGATCAGTCCTTTGTTTTTCAGCCTAAACAGATGGAAATAAATAAGAAACATCAGTTGATTCTCTGTAGACAAAATTTTCCGCTTAAATTAAAGAAAAATAAAGCTTTATTGACCCTGACATTCAGCTATATCTACAATTAAAATAATTTCGTAAAACAAAAGAGTCAAATTAAAAATATGTCTAAAATCGATTACTTTAAAAATAAAATAAGTTCCCGGTATTTCCCTGTTTTATTATGATTACTACAAAGTCATAAAATTTAGAAATGTTATTTATCTGCTGAATTTTGTTCCCTGGTAGCTCAATCAAAACTAGTTTCAATTCTGTTTTATATGTAAATCGTTATAAACAATTGACGTAAATAGAAACATACCCTAATTCACATCTATATATTCCTTCCACTTACAGAAATATAATTTAGGAACATTTACTGCTCTTTTCTGATTTCAAACCGGATTTAATTGTTTAAGCTATTTTTTTTATAATTAAGAATGTAGCTTACATGCGATACGTCGACTGCATAATTGATGAAACATAAAACATAGAATAGTTAGATTTGAATAGTTATTCTCTCACCTTAGCTCTAGCTTGTCTTTCAGCTTCTAGTTCTTCCTCAAGTTCCTCAATTCTAGACTGTAGAATGAAAACTAATTACATCTCTACTAAAATCTAAAATTCTATGGAAAAGGCTCGTCTTTTTTATCATTATAATCACTTCCGAAATATAAAAAAATTAAATATTTATTCATCTACATTTAACTAATACAGGTCAGTCATGAGAGTTTTAGAAAGAAAATATGTTGGATGACATGTCTACGTGACATCCTGTTAAAAAAAAACATAACCAGTTCTTCGTTAGCAAAACGTTCTCAGTTGTGAGTTGGCCACATTCCTTTCTAAAACTGACTGCTATTATAAACAGAGCGTGAAACCAATGTTTATAGAAGATTAAGTGCCCTTAAACTTCTTAATACTCAACGCATCTAACATGACTACTGTAGTTACACAGATATTCAGTATTGTATTTTTGTTATTGATCTTGTAGAACGTGAAATAGTAATCTGTTAAAAAATATATAATAATAATAATATATATATACAACAAAATAGAATAATTAGAAGCGCCACCTACCTGGAGTTCCTTGATTTGTTTCTGCAGCTTGGCTACTAAACTTTGCTCGTCTTCTAGTTTGGCAGCAAGACTGGCCATTTCCTTATCCTTTCTGAATGTCGTAATGAAAATCAAGAAATTTTTTTTAAAAGTTTGTTAGATAGAAAAATCAATAAATAAACAATTTTACCGGACTTTTTATCAATTCTTTTCCTGTTAACTATTTGAAAATATAGGCATAAGGTTCATTATTCTTATACAAATAAAATACTTTGATTTCAAGCAAAGTAGATTAACAAGCTTTCTGAAATACGCAAATTATATGCAAGTCTGTAACAGCGAAAAATTCCTTTTTCTACGGTATTTCCTTTTTTGATGCATTCTGAATAGCACTATAAGAAAAATATTATATTTTGGAGAAAATAATTACACTTCCTGTCATAATGTTCGTATTGAACCTATTACAAGTTCCAGTTATGTAAACCGTGTTTTCTTAGTCTGCTAAGTGAAAAATTTTATCCAATTTTATGGCTCGCCAAACTGATCAAATCAAAGTAAAACAAAAAAAAAGTGTTTAAAATTTTGCTTGACGGCAGTGGAAAGAAACATCCTAGATATTCTTCAACAGTGAATCATCCAATCCAGAGGATGAACAAGGCTTGAATGTTTTTAACGCCCAAATGTAAAAAGAAATAAAGTTTTGTTTTGTGAAAACCAAATACCTGGATCTTCAAAAGCGTTATAGCGTTTCTTGTAAGAGCATTAGGTGAGTAAATTAGAGTCAAAAGTATAGCAAATGGCATATTACTGACCACAAATGTTTTAAGACCAACCTCTGAAGGCCTTGTTCTAGTTCTTTTTTGTTCTTTTCTAGGTCTGCTACTGCTTCTTGAGCGAGCTTCAGGTCCCCTTCGACCTTTCTCTTGGTCTTCTCAAGATCTCCTCTTTGCTTCTTTTCCCGTTCGAGGTTGTCCTCTAGCTGTGAGAGTCAATGTTAGAAGCTTAAATGTAACAATCAAATGAATCTTTGGAAAATTTAGCGAAAGACCAGAAAGTTTCATTTGAAGATTATACTGGTTAGTGAAACAAAACTCATATGAAACCGAACTATGCACTAACAATCATTATATATATATATATATATATTACTTTCCAAAAATAGGTTTAAAATGTTTAATGAAGTTATTATACTGCCTTGAGTATTCTGCGTATCACGTTTATGTGGAAACTAACTTTTTAATATTAGGTTGAAAATTGTTCTTTTTTTATCAATTTTTAAATTTTTTTGTAAACGAAAAAAATTCCTTATAAATAGTTTCAACAATCACGGGAAATATACAAGATAAATTGCTTGGCTTATCATTTTCTGACTTTTCCATAATCTTAGTAACTAATGAGTTTTTTTAAATAAAAAGAGTATGATTCTCATATAACTTATCGTTCAAAAATGTCACAAAGAAAACATATCTTCAGTACCTCGTCAAGAGTTTGTTCCAGTTTGACCTTCACTTTGGTTAAGTGGTTGACCTTATCTTCAGAAGCTTGAAGATCCTCGGATGTTTTCTAGAAGTTACCCAAATGAATGATAAAACATTTTTTTTCCTTTTTAAGAGTAAAAACATATATTTTAAACGATTAATCATTGAGAAAACAGCAATAATTTATATCCATAAATATCGAATACAAACATATAGCATACACATTAATGAATGTCGGCTTACAATTACAAAATGATGAAATTACACATTGGTTTAGTTGGCATATTGTCTATATTTTACCTTTTACATGAAAAAACAACAATATCATTACCGAGCCATATCAAATTAAAAAGCTAGTTTACGAAGATATGAATCACTTACGAGGTGTGATTATAACATTAAGTAAAGGAAAACGAATATTAATTTGGGTGTTTTCATCAGTTTTATAGCCTTGTTTGGAACTGATTGATGCTGTCACTACGAAATGCAATGAATATATGAATTGTTTCCTATTTGTTCAATGCATAATTTGATGAACTGTTCAAACATTATACTCGTTTGTTTTGCAACGTCATGATTCGGTGTTTATTAATGTAGAGTACATGAACCTGAATAAAATTATTGTCAATGTTATTAAGCACACGAATCTGATTCATATTATTGTTCGTGTTAAATACATAAACGTAAATGAGGTTGTTATTGATGCTAAGTAGATGAGCCTGAATCAGTTTGCTGTTGATATTAAACACATGAACCTAATCCATATATTTACTATTCTTAAATTTATGAAATAAACTAACCTGGTTTACTTCCTGTAGGTGCTTTTTCTCTTTGGTGAGCTTCTGGATAAGTTCATCCTGATGAGCGATCTCATCATTTAGGTTGCGAATCTGGTGGTCCTTTGTGGCTTTGTCTTGTTCGGCCTACATTGAAATGACACAAACTCACTAACCAAGATGTATTACTTAAATGTCTGCTCTATAAGTTATTTACATTATTCAATGTGTAAAAGCTAAAATGAGAAAACATGCATGCTTTTATTAGCTTTGTAAGGATAGAAAGTTCTGAATGCAAATGTAGAATATTAAACAGGAGAGCAATAGCTTTGTCTTTGTTTCTAGATTGAACCGCAGTTGCTAATAATATAATGAATTAAATGGTTTTATACTACTTGCTCAAAGTGTGTTACGAAAGAGGTTAATAAAACAATAAAATATTTTACATATTTCAATATATTATCTTTCAAATGGGTTATAACATTATCACCATATTAGAAATACTGAAACATAATTTAAAACATATATTGAAATTTAAAGACTTAGCCAACCGTTACTATGTGAATGAAAGTGCAATCAAGTTATTGACATTTATTTACCTTTTGCAGAGCGAGTTCGAGGTCTTCGATTGTTTTCTTTAAGCTTGCGATATCAGTTTCCAGTTTCTTCTTTGTCTGATTCAGTTGATGGTGAGCGTCTTCTTCATGGGTTAGACGTTCTTGGATTTCCTGTATATAGAATTCAAGACTAGTCACATCAATTTGCTCTTTTCTTTTGCAGACGGATTCTAGAAATGAATCAGTGACTTTTACTTTTATCATACTATGATTATCTTCATTTGATTCTTCCGTTTGATCGTGATTGGGATCAGTTTCGATACATTCCCTATGAAAACTTGCATCGCTAGCTCCAAGCTTATTGAAATCTTCAGTGGGAATACAATGGTTTTCATTCGCTGAAGTTGTTTCCATTATAACTTAATAAAATACTGATTGCAATTTTATATCAGAAAACCGCTCTCAAAGAGACCAGGCCAAAGATTCTGAATTGAAAGAAAGGACTTGACTCGATTTGAATTGTAGAGAAGCGAACAAACAATTATAGTTTGGATTGTTCTCCTTCAGCATTCCAAAACAAATTCGAGTTTAGCTTAAAGGACTCTTTGCTATGACACTGTCTATCTGGTTTCTGCTTCAGTGTACAAACATTCGCTCTTTGGATGAAATTGTAATGTTTGGTGAGTAGCAAACAAAGTGACAAAATTATCTAGAACTTTATATATTATAGACAAACAGAAGCTTGTGACTTGTTGACCTGTAGTTCCCTCTTATGTTATATAAAGCGCGAAATATTTATTTCCAGACCTTCATCACGTGAACCTTTTTCATGACTAAGACGACACCTCCACAATCTCAAGACGTATGAAGAAAGTGTAGATATAAATATGGACCTTAAAAAGGCACGTGTAGTCCTACTTGTTTAGCCCCCATATATAGCATTATATCCAACCCGATTGTTTATAGAAAAGATACACACCATCTCTTAAGTACGCCTAGAAGTAAGAAAGAAAAAATCCCTGTACAATATCACTTCCTTCTGTTAATTCCACTCATATGGAAATTATATTACGTATATTTCAAATTTACCAGGTTTAAAAGTAATAAAACGTTCTAAAACGAAACAGAGTGCCAAGTAAGCATTCTGCGGAACGACTGTATGTAAATCACTTCATATATTTTTAATATAAGCGTAAATTTCGGGTAAAAGGTGGTTCATGGACATGGAGGGTCAAATTAATTATATCAATCTTTAAACCAGGTATGCCCATATCATTACAATCTCTATTTATACACTGATATCAGCTACTTTATTTCTGAACTAAAAAATGATTAATTGCATTTATTATAAATTTTCTGAATTTTCATTTATTACTGTAAAGTACTTTTATTTAAATTGAGTTCTCTCTGTCTACTTACATTGCGATGTTATTAGCACATTTATGCGTTTTAATATTCTTAAAGAGCAGATATTAGATACTTCAATTAGCTTAAAACAAAACCTAAACCACCCAATAACGCTACCGAGCAAAAGGTGATACCGGTATCTTGAATAAAAAAGGTAAAAATAAGATTACAGTGGAATTACAAACGTTAGTTTACCTTTTTTCGTTTTTGAAATTTTACAGATTTTCTTTTCTTTAAATGAGGACCTACAAGAAAAACTTTCACCACTCATAAAGTCAAGCATGCAGAAGAAATTGGAAATAATTGGTTCTTTTACTGACTTTGCTGGAGAATATATAAAAGGAATTGTTACTACATTGAATATAATGTATGTCATTAATATTAGACAATAACGCCACCAGACGAAGTATTCAAAATATATGAAATGTTTTCCCAGTCTTCAAAGTAGGTGTTTGGAATACTTAGAACAAAAATCATTAATGTGGTGCTCCGAAAAACAAAGGTTGTTAATCATTTTCATACAAAATGGAACACGAATACAGAAAATTGATCGATAACATTTATTTTGAAGAATATAAGTCATAAGATAATTTTCGCACACGATAGGATTAAGTTTGGAATAAAATCAACCATAAAATAATTTTTATTTCCAAAATAAAAATAATTTTGGAAGAAGAAAAGCCATGCGATAGATTTTTTGTATTTTGTATTTATTGCAAAGATACCATGGCTATCTGTCGCCGTTCCTGATTTGAACTACTGACCAGAGGATAGACACTCAGTCCGCTGCACTTTGCCACTCACCATCCAAGAAAGCGATTGACTGTCATTCTAATACATCCACAGCTTAAGTAATATTTTGTGGTATCGTACGGATTCGAACCTGGCTCACCAGCTCCAAAATTCAGAGCCCTACTTGCCCTCTGATATTTTTTACTCGAACATACAGAAACCTATATTCAGAGATTTTGAATCCTACACACAAACCATTTGACCATTGAAATAACTTACTGACCTGTAACTGACTCTCTAGGTCTCCTTTTTGAGACATTGCTTTAGCTAGACGTTCTTCTGTATCTCCACATTGGGACCTCTCTGCTTCGAGCTGGAGAAATAGGTCGTTTTTATCCTGCAGGAGTTTTACATTTTGAGTTTCCAGGTCCTTACGAAGCTTCTCCTCCTTCTCAAAGGCCTCATGCTCCTTTTTAAGTTTTTCTTCCAATGCTCGTAGCTCATCTTCGACTCGGGCGATGCTGAGGAGAGGCTTGACCTGTGAACGATTTTTGCATAAATGGCAGAATTAATCACTGACAAAGAAACTGTTAAACTTCGAAGGTTATATTCAGTCAAATTGTAATTATGCTGAGGATTCTGATGTAATACAGTTTATTAGGATCAGCATGAAATCGTTACAAATAATCGAAAATGTTCAAATGAAAAGACTATCAGTTGAGCACTAAGTAATATGTATATAGATATATATGTATTACCTTGGATCTCATTTTAAATACAGCATCCTGTCAGGCATTTATATATATGGATGGGCAGGATTTTTTATTGTAGGTGTCTGTGACTTGTTAGCGATGAATTTCAACAATAAACAATCATCACACAGTACACTTGCTTTAAAATAATATATATATTATAACAAATCAAATGTATATACAAATGTTCGTTACACAGTTAATCACCACAGTTGTATGCAGAGCTTTAAATAATTGTCTCTTTTCGTCAAAAGTCTACACAGGTTTGTTCAATTACTTTAGAACACAATTGACAAGTCAAAGTATTCTTCTCTACTGTGTTATTACAATAAAATCTGTGATAATTTCACTTTAAAAAAACAAAAAAAAACGCGCCACTATAAGCTCTTTACAGCTAAACTCACAAACACACAGTCTAGATCTATCTAATTATATCTCTTACTAACTTAACTTGCTTTTACTTAACTTACTTCAATTACATTTTATACGCGCATTTATAAATACTCCATTTGAGGCCAGGAACTTTCCACACACTACGATATATTATGATGTAACAATACTCGATCAAAACAGTGAGATAAGCTTAGAAGGTTATTGCAACCTGACGCAATAATACAAGCGCCAAATCACAACAGTGGAACTACACAACGTATGATTGGTAAACAGTTACATAAACAAACCTGTGATAAACTATCGTTTCTGAACATAACTAAGTTTAAAACTCGTACCATACTTAAATTAAATCAGTCGTGTATATCGAACACATCCAAATATATAGATATAACCATGCTAACAGAACACTTATCATATCATATTAAAACAAAATTATTTACCTTAACTGTAAATACCTTTTAATACAATATCTAAACAGATTCGTGTGAACATGTTACTTTGGTACACATAATATCAGATTTTAACAAAACTGTATATTAAGTAGCATACCTTGGAATACAATTTCCACCACAGCCAGTTGCGGAGCTGCAAAAATTTCCGGAGGTTTCTCTGAATAACCAGCAGAGCAATTCTAAAATACAGCAAATACTACAGAATGAATAAATAATCTAACCTGTGTAAAATGACGTGTGTCTCACGTCACGCTTGATTTCTCGAAATAACAGGAGTCATAAAACCTAAATGCACTTATCCAGATAAAATAGTTCGTTTACTGTCTGCCTTATATGAATTTAGGGACGGGGGTGCAAGAGGGCCGTGAGGGGGTGCCGTCAAACCTTATAA